AAATAGATTAAGGTGAGTCGGTACACCTCTAATAGAAATAGATTAAGGTGAGTCGGTACACCTCTAATAGAAATAGATTAAGGTGAGTCAGTACACCTCTAATAGAAATACACTGTAGCCTCGTTATAACAAACTCTTTGGGGGACATACAATTAGTTTGTTATAGTGAAATGTTCACTATAATGAAGCACATAATACACTGGGTTTGTTGTGAGCAGGAGACATGCTATGTGTTCATTATATCAGGAAATTCATTATAAAGGTGTTCATTATATTGAGGTTACAGTGTAGATTAAGGTGAGTCAGTACACCTCTAATAGAAATAGATTAAGGTGAGTCGGTACACCTCTAATAGAAATAGATTAAGATGAGTTGGTACACCTCTAATAGAAATAGATTAAGGTGAGTCGGTACACCTCTAATAGAAATAAATTAAGGTGAGTTGGTACACCTCTAATAGAAATAGATTAAGATGAGTTGGTACACCTCTAATAGAAATAGATTAAGGTGAGTCAGTACACCTCTAATAGAAATAGATTAAGGTGAGTTGGTACACCTCTAATAGAAATAGATTAAGGTGAGTCAGTACACCTCTAATAAAAAAAGATTAAGGTGAGTCGGTACACCCCTAATAGAAATAGATTAAGGTGAGTCGGTACACCTCTAATAGAAATAGATTAAGGTGAGTCAGTACACCTCTAATAAAAAAAGATTATTAATGACGGTAATACATATTTATGATTATTATTTTTTCTCAACACTGAAAGAATATTTCTATATGTCACCTCGCTTTGAAAAGAGCATTCTAGTTTGACTAATCTGATTGTTTGTTTTTTCTCAGAATGCCAGGAATTGGGTGTCATCAAAAGAACCATTGGGAGAACCTATTCATTATTCCATGATGGAAGTACCCAAGTTCTCAGCAGGTTAGTGCTTATTACTTTAATGCATATTATCATCAGTAGTACATATAGACTCAATTTTGCATGGCTTTCAGTGTCTCCAGGATCATAGTCTTGGCTAATATACTTATTGAAAAGGAATTTCCAGAAATTTTGCTGAATGGTTGATTTAAAACTCCATAGAAAAAAACTTTTTAAATTACAAATCCTAATTGTTTGCATTATGGTTTAACAAAATGGAAAAATTTGTTGTCTCCATGGAAACAAGTTTGGATACCCCAATTTTTTTTTTGGTTTTTGTCATTTATTGGATGGAACTATCATCGGTAGTATATATAGACTCAATTTTGGGTGGCTTTCAGTGTCTCCAGGATCATAGTCTTGGCTAATATACTTATTGGAAAGGAATTTCCAGAAATTTTGCTGAATGATAACTTGTGATTGGTCGATTTAAAACTCCGTAGAAAAAACTTTTTGAATTACAAATCCCAATTGTTTACATTAGGGTTTAACAAAATGGAAACATTTTTTGTCTCCCTTGAAACAAGTTTGGATACCCCAATTTTTATTTGCTTTTTGTCATTTATTGGATGGAACCATTAATGGTGCTTTAAATTGTCCACATGTTTCACTAGTTATCTGCATCTGTCCTTTAGTAAACAATTTGCAGTTATTATTAGCATTTTGGGTAATCTCCTCAAACACTGTCACTCATAATTTTTCAAATCCTACCCTTACTATTGCATTTTCTTTCATTGGTGATAATCCTCAAGTATGGTTATGATGGTAACTGATAAGATATTTCTTTATTAATTTTTGACCTATAGTACCATAGTTGTGACTTCAAAACGATTTTTTGTCTCGCTTGCACAAAAATACGATATTATTACCTATATATAATAACCAGTTGTGCCTATTCAGATGAAACTTAATACACAGATAAATATGTTAATTACAAGGCTCATCACAAATCTAATCCTCCTTATTATTTGCATGTTAAGCATTCTTGTTTCACTGCTATCTCGATATGCATTCTCTCAATTCAGATGAAACTAACCAGACTATAATCAGACATATACAATAATTACAAAACCCTGAATAGATTTTGGTAAAATTCTGTGCATATTAATTAGCTTTATTTGCATATTACCCATTCTTGTTCCATCTCAATGAGCAGTCACTCAATTTATATGAAACTAAAAAATTTTATATACAAGATAATTTCAGAACCATAGAACAGTTTTTGGTATGATTATATGCACACTAGGTTAATTTAATTTGCATATTGCACATTTTTTATCTTAAAAATAAGTTTTTGGGTTCAGAACATACTTTACTAATAAGAGAGTATGATTGCATAATCTGATATTTAAATATACCATTTAGCTTCATTTACATGTTAATTTCATTTATAATTCAAATATTGAAATGTCGAACCTTTCACAGATTTTTCCATTTTTTTTCATATGTTTTTCACAATAATGGATTCACATGTACTGCTTCATTTCATGATGCTATTTTAAAGGAACATTAAAGCATGAAGAAACATCATGGAAAAGTATAGATTTAGTGTTCACATACTTGGCAGAAAGAATAAAAAAAGAAACTCCGAAGGGCATTAAAGAAGGAGGAGGAGATCAGATGGAAGAAGATGTGAAAAAAGTAGAAAAATCGAAAGAAGAGTTGTGATATCATTTCATGTCTCTTGTCTTGTGATCATAATTGTGGAATATGAATTCTATACATTGTCATTATTTTGCTCATACCATTGTAGATGACAGGAAAGGTATATGATATGGAAAATGTCTGTCCTTGTTGTTGTCGACATTAACTCCACCATAAAACTTTTTTCTTATGATTACAATAACCAGTTTTTATCTAAACTTGAATATTTTATTAACCAAATGGAATTTCAGCCAAATTCGATTTTGGTATGTGTCCTTTGTATATTTTTTGAGATTATGATGAAACTCCATATAAAATTGCCTTCTCTTTGTGGTTACAATAACTCAAATAATTGTTATCTGTTCGTCTTCAAATTTGGAAATCTTATCATTTACTATATAATGTTTACTAAGTTAAATTTTGATGATACTAGCAAATATATTTTAAGTTATGAGTTAAAATTTAACATATGTTAGATATAGAAATAAGTGTACCGAATGAAGACATTTATACTACTGATAATGAGGACCAGATATTAGTAACTTATTTTATAAGATCTATAAAGGTAATTGTTTTAAATATGCTAAGTACACAACATTGACGAGAATTATTGGCATGTTTTGCAGCTGTATTATTATGAATCTTTCATACAATACATGTTATGATATTCTATAAGGAACGTTGAGATTAATACAGTACATGTAATATTAATTGAGGAACGAATATTAATTATTTGTTTAAGTAATTACTATTAATTTTCAGTCAAAATTGTTCCCATCTAACTTTTAGCTATTTTTTTCTGCGCAACATTTTGTTTAAATATATTATTGCTTTGTTTCATTCTAATTTTTTCCTGCAATGATAATGTTGTACCAAGTAAAGAGTACATTGATAGTTTGTATCCATTCCAGTGGGGGAAGTAGCAGTAGTTACGCTATGTTTTTAAAGTTTGATTCAGACTAGGGTGAGATCGACACCCCCACACATACACACACACTTCAGTTGCATATCAATTTAGCATTTTGAACATAATCTACTTATATCTGAAAACAAATGATTGAAATACTTTGAAATTTTCTATAAAAAATGTATAAAAACAAAATAAACAAATAAGATTGGTTATATGATAGCTTTCACATTAACCTGTTGAAGGTTTGCCCATTTATCACAGTTGCATTCACATGTTTCACATCGATCACCTTCACATGGTGCTTGCATCGCAAAACAAACCCATTTCACTGTATTGTAACAAATTTAAAAAACGACAGGTTACTCGCACGACTACAGTAGTATTCCTGTAGAACCATGTTCCAATATTCTATTGTTCAACTTTCATTAGGTTTCCTATAAGGGATGAGAAATGAACTAAAATGACAGGTTGTATACATACATTTTACTGTACTATAAGTCATGGGCATGATATGTATATTCTATCATTGAAAAGCATGAATATATTATCCATGATATGGTAACATTGGGTTTTTCAATGAGTGTGATTTGTTTTTTAAAGGAACAATAAAATTTGAAGAAACAGCATGGAGAAGTATGGATTTAGCGTTTACATACTTGGAGGAAAGAATCAAAAACCCTAAAAACCCAAGGAGTACTATAGAAAAAGGAGATCGAATGGAAGAAGATGTGAAAGAAGCCGAGTTGTGATATGGATTATCCTGCTATGTGTGTATGTATGTTCCACCGACATCTCACGAAGATTAAAATGAAACTTGGTACATAGATGTCATGGCACAATGCACAGACCTGAATAGTTTTTGATTGAAAACTAATTTGCATAATAATTAATCAATTTGCACTTGACAGTTTTCAATGAAACTTGATACATGAACCAGACAATGCACAGATCTGATTAGTATTTGGTTGAAATCTTTGCATATTAAAGGCCCAATTCACTTGCCCTGGGCAAGTGTGAATTGGAGGTGTGGCTATGCTAATGAGTGTTGTTAATCACTTGCATAGCCTATGACGTATCCTGTTTCAGCGGTCCAACACCACATGACTTTGATTGACAGTAGTTAATTATTCAAGATTAGTATCGTGTCCCTTTCCCCGGTTCGTGTTTTTAACTTTTATCCGTCAAAATCTCAGCTCGTACACTATTTATTGTCATAAATACTATGCACAGTCACTGCTGTGGTATTCATGGTCACATGCATCCACTTTGGCACAACATAATCGACCTGTAAGTTTGAGAAAACATGTCTTTACCGGAGCTTGGCTGGAGCTGTTTACTACAGCGTGACAAGCAAGGAAATAATCTCTATTGTTTAGGAGCATATTTATAGTATAACTGGGCCTTTAAGTACCTAAACCTAACTCTCACAGTTGAAGTATACAGGTATGCACACCGTTTGAGCTGATCAATTTGAACCCAATTTTAAGATTTTCAACAATTTTAGCAAAATATCAGGCGTTTTTCAGTCTACAGTTTTAAATTAGCTGTGGAGAACTCTCACCCAAACTCCAGGGAAGTAGTTTTGGATTGAAAGTCTTGCATATTAATTACAAAATTCACTACATTCAATTACCCACCATAGACTCCGGTCAGTCAAAATGACTATTTTGAACTGTAGGCATTAATCAGCGATTCTGCCGGTGATGGAGAGATAGAATCTAGGTCAGGCGAACCCACATGACTGAGGCCACATGGCAGCGCCTTAGGTGGCCATCAATCGCCTGCTTTTTTTTTTCCTGTCCGGATTTCTAGCTTGGGTTGTTGCCGCTGCACGGCATCCGACATTGTAGCTGGTAGGATAAGTTTTCCTTGTCATTTTTACCCTTGTGTCGTTTTTCCCTTTGTGTGTAGTATTTTTTACGACAAAGAAATTACAACCCGGCACCTCTACGTAACCACTGGTTGGTGTCGCGGCGGCACCTTTTCGAATGTGCAGTGGTTATATTCAGAATTTACCAGCATAGAACCCGCATCCGAGATACTTTGTCGTACCTGTGTGCAGGGTTCGAGGTTTCTGCGTGAAGGTGTGTTTTTTTCACTGGAGTTCTGAGGCCTGAGATTTTCTTTCAGAGTCATCAAAATCGCTGACACTGACCGCGTCACAGCAAGGTCGCGTGTCCAGTAAACAAATCGGTTAAAGTGAGTTGCATGTTTGGCATGAGTGGAAAGTTCTCACACTCGGCTACCGGTGCTTCGTGTACTGGGACCTTGAGTAGGAGGCCCGATGGTGGAGGTACCGATATTTTCTCGGTCTCCCCCCGCTGATCGAAGGGCATCCTCACAGTCTGTTTTTTTCAGACGGTGGTTTACCCGATTTTTACCAGGCTGCAGCAAGGCTGTGCCCCTGGAGGCTTTCCTCCTATGGGGCCCATTGCGGGTCCCTTTTGTGGACCCTTCCTCGCACAGCGCCGGGTTTGCCTCCGAGTTGAGGGCTTTGGTCGAATGACTGTTGGGGCAATTGCGGCCCCGGCAGGCCAGGTAGATCAGACGCAGACGGAGCGAGCTGTCTCCACTGCGGCCCCTCGGTGGGCAGGAAGAAACTTGAAAGCATGTTTGCATTCAAACACGTCTCTTCCAGGGAACTCCCATTCCCAGCCGCGGCTCTCCCACTAATGCGGTAACGGTACAACGGTAACGAATTTATCCTTGTGTCCGGTCTCCGCTGTGGGTTGACTCCCTACTTACCAACCAACGGGCGTCCCCAGAGGGAACCGACCCTATCATGAGACGCACAGTCGAACACACTCCCTCTCACATATTTAAAGTAAAAGGAAACTCAGTTTGTCGTGTCGGATACAGCCGGTACTCCCTGCGGTCCCTCAGAGTCTTTCATCCATAATGACTCGGTGAGCCATGCTTTTGGGGTGATACGGAGTATCATCGATCCCAGTGATACGATGTAAATACCCCCACCCTTGATCCTAAGGCGACCACCTAAGGTTGCTTCAATGCTTATGGGATCACGGGCGTCGGGATCCAAAGGAACCAAGTGTCCGTCCAAGTGCAGAGTGGGGCGCAGAGCACGCAAACGGTGTTGATGGGCGGACGTTGGTCAGCCGCGGAGGACGTAACGCTTAAGGCCCCAGGGTGGGGAAGACATTAGGCAACACTTCCCGCTGGACCAAACGCTACCCAGTCGGTGTGGTTTCGGGATCAGACCCCATAGCGTGGGATGAGACCAAAACGCCCCCAACCAGATCCCAAGGCTCCTTCCCCAGACCCCAGTACCACGAATTTCTGTTTGGCAAACCGGGCAAAAGGGGACAGCTGCGTTCCATGGGCGTTCTTGCCAATCGGAAGACGACCCATCCAGCCCTGAGGGCAGAGTTGCTTGAGCGCATTATTGTGCGCGCAGAAGAATTCTGCACCAGCCTCCTAGACGAGGCGACACTTTTCTGGTGGGCCACCGCACATTTAAGTGCGACACCCCTTAGTGTCACCTGGGTCTCTTGGCCAGGACCACTACTGTGCTACGAAACGCGGCCTTAGACGCACATGTTTTCACCGACAAGCTGAGTCGGGGGGGGGGGGGTACGTCCCCACCTCAGTGACACAGACTGGACATCTTCCACCCTCTTTGTTCAGGGAATGGTGGGTACAGTCTCGGAGCTTCGGAGTGCAATGAACCAGAGGGTTCAGATCAAATCCGCTAGCCAGTTGGCCCTGCCAAGGGCAAGCGAAGGGCACCCATAGCACAAAAAACACAATGCCCTAGGGCATCGTCCGCTAGCCAGAGTCGGCCAGGAGGCAAGTGCTCATACCCTTCCATGGAAGGGAAGAGTAGTGGCAAGCCCCCAGGGAGGAAAGAGCTAGGTGGTGGCTCCTCGGCCTCCCTGGGCGGACGTCTATCCCGGCAGCGGGGGAAGCGTGTTTGACGCTCACAGGCATGTGTTCGGCGGGTGGCCAGGTCACAACTTAGTGACTACTTCAGGCCTTGGGGAACTCGCCTCATGGGAGAAGAGAGCACCCCCTCGCAACTGCCGAACCCATGGCAGCATATTCCTGTCGTACACAGATTGCGCCAGTGTAGTCCGGTTTGGAGACAGCGGGTGAC